TTTCCTAATAATTTTACGTTTATCCCGTGAGTCAAATAATTTTGGACATCCTTTCTGAAGTATTGATTCAATGCGATCTTCACGAACATGTCTTTTTATAATATCTGCTACCGTATTCTTACTCACTTACTAAATTTATTAATTTACCGATTTCTTGATATGATTTGCCTTTTTTATAATGAAAAATAACAAGTTGGCGTTTATCAAATCAACTATTTTTACGTCCCATTTTCATTGTTAATTTGTGTGGGGAAATTAGGTTAACTCAATTCAACATGTTTTGTATGACTTACTTCACGGTAAACAAATAAGGAATAAACTAACTTGATTTCCGAGGGTCAGTAAATATAAAATATATTGAGTGTCCGAATATTTTTGCGATTCTAAAATTAAGGATTAAGTTATTTAATATTTTTTACATTGAAAACTACATTAGTTAGATAAAGAAAATTAAAAATTAAATATGTTTTTTTACATTTATAATGAGCATTTCCAATGGTTAAAAAATCGTAAATTTCTTAATCCTATAAAAACTATATTTCAAAAATAATAAATTCTCTATTATTATGATGTCCGAATATTAATGCGAGTCACTGTATATACATTTCGATGAAATATATTTCAGTAATTATAAGAAAACAAAACAGATGGCTTATTTGTCAGGAATAAAATTTTATGTCGCCGTATTTAATAAATAAAAATTTACTTCAGTGAAATAAATATATTTCTCACAAGTAAACTTTTAAGTATCTTTTTCTCAGTGTGAAATTGCGAAAATTCGAAAAACACGCTGTTGATTAAAGTTTAGAATTGCATATCGGAAAATGATTTTAGCTTTAATACTCGTATTGGCTTAGATTTTAGTAGCCGATATTATCAATGAAAAAATTGTAAATTTAACTCGAATTAATTTGTATTAATTTGAATGGAATATTAAACAGTGTATCAGTTTTTGCTTACAATTAGACGATATCTTAATTAACATTTCGATCGATGTTTACTCGCAAGATATTGCATTCCTTGATTTCAATAAAACAAAACATAAATAAAACAAACCAACAATTTTTACTTAACGTTGCCATAGTAACGTATAAGTATCAGAAATTTTGTAGAATATCATTGTTACCGAAAATTACGATCCAATATCGCTAAAATTAGTTTCGACGAAGTTACGAGCAAAAATATGAGATTTCAACGAGACGACCCGGTACATCCGCGATGTGGAAATCGCTCGTGCGACCACCCAGCGCGACTATCACGAGCAAAAAGTTCGCGAGGCTTGCTACTCGCTTCGCCTCTTATTATAGGTACGCGTTTCTCGGACCATCGGCCGGGATACGTCGAACGCAATTGAAAATAGCACCAACGTGGATTTAATGTAACATCCTTTCGTCACAGTAAACGGATATAATTTAAACATGACGCGGACAGGCAGAAATTGAAGATATTATTGCAAGTAAACATTCAGCGATCTTGTAAAACGAACATAAAAATCGTAAGAATCTGCTGTCTATAATTCCATCGCATTTTAGAAACGCGATTTCTATCAAAACACAGGATGTGCACGATAAATCTTCGATGTTTTGCAATAATGAGAAATAAAAAACGAACACATGATACTCTCTAAATTCTTTGAAGTGAAAATTATGCCAGTCTTGAAAGAAAGTAGCTCAATTTTCAATCTTTAAGAATGGGACTTCATTCTTCAAAATAACAATTCAGTCTAAGAGAGTTTCTAGAGAGTACATATTTCTGATGATTTTAAAGGTCAACTAAAAAAAGTTCTTACAAAAAATTACCACATGTAATCAAACACTTGGAAATCACTTGGATTGCTTCTTCCAGGGAATATGTATTAAGAACATATTAGGTTTGTTACTTGAAATTATCACAAATTTTTGCACTTAAACCGGGACAAATAAACATTCGAGCATTGAAAAGAAAGAAAGCAAAGATACTGAATGTAAAAAATGCAGGCAATGCGAACAGACCTTATTTACTCCATCAAGAGAAGTTTGTTAACATGTGAAAGTTTGGAAATTTTTATTTTCCATTATTTCAAAATACCAGAGATTCAGTGTGTACAACCTATAAAAATAGGATAAACAGACAATAATGCAGAGTTTTTACAAACTCCTCGTCCTAAAATTCCATTTCCAACTTTCTTTAATTTCCCTGACATTTCTCTAATTTCCCCGATTTCCAGTTTTGTGGCAACTCTGTAACGATAATTGTAATACAAAATTTAATTTTTCTGTCAGTTCGCCGGGACGATATTCCCTCATAAACGAGAGGTATCAGAGTTTACGAAAAATGAGATAACGGTCGCACGAGATCGTGCAGCAATTTTGATGGAAGCTCTCGGGGCCCGATCGATGAAGGAAAGCGAATCGATATTAACGCGTGATCGTTCCGGATCGAAACAGGCATCCTCGAAAGGCATTGCGATACCGTACGCACATTTTCGTCCGCGAGAAGGATCTCGAAGGTCCGATCTCCCGGTTTCGTGTGCGACAGGTCCCAAGAGATCTCACTAGTTACAGAAGAAATGCCAGGGATGACGTGGATCCCGCCAGACCTCGGCAGGAAATCGATCCTTCGATCCGGTACTTTCAAAAAACATGTCTCGAGACCACCCGCGTATGTGAAAAGTTCACAGCTCGTCAGTTAATCGCGTAGCTCCGGAGAGACTTGACCTGTTTGCGGGTAAATTGTGCGTGAATGGGTATTAATGCGAAGATAAACAATTTTTAGAAATAAACAATTCATAAATCAGTGACAATGAAAAAGATAATAACAATAATTATATTAGGACTTTCAAACTTTAAACAATACAAAAAAAGATCAATATAGTAGGCTAATGAGAGTCAGCAACGATAAATTATTTAGTGAACAATCAATAATCAGATATTGGATTAATGTTTTCTTTTTGTATAAAATAAAGAAGACATCACTCCAATATCTGATTATTGATTGTTCACTAAATAATTGCGCCGTTTATCATTGCTGACTCTTATTAGCCTACTATATTTATCTTTTTGTATTGTTTAATGGAAAAGATACTTTCAAACAGAATTATTATACATTGAAAAAGACAGAAAGGTGATCCTAAATAAACAGCTTATTTTTTTACAACTTTTACTTTAACACCATTTTCATCAAAAGGAAAAACATTTAAAATTTCTCTTTCAAAATTTTCAAATATAGAAATTCCATTCATCAATCATTGCACTACAGCTTAGTCCCTTAGAAACTTGACATGCAATGGATATGCACGTGTATAATAGGAATGCAAAGTCATTTTGTAAATAGACAATTCATGAGTCGGAAAGGTGATCCTAAATAAATAGCTTAGCTTTCACAAGTTTCTTCTTTAATATCTTCATCGATTTAAAAAAGGAAAACTGCGAGTTAAAAAAATTTTCTTTCGTGTCGAATCATTTCTACTCAATTTTTCCGATTAAGCCGCAATGGACCACCCAGTATAAACTTCCTCATGACATAATTAAACGATTTAAGGCACGACGAACGGAATGAAGAGACGGAGAGATTCGTTGCTCTTTCAAGGAGTATCATTTTATGGCAGTGGCAACGGACTGTAGAGGCATCGATAATACCGCTCTCGAGGCAGCTTCACCGACGACGGCGATAAGAGTCGAGTAGCGCTAACCGCCGTTAAAACGCATTTTCGATCGTCAAAGTGCGCCTCGTTAATCGCCGATCGAAGATAACGCGACGCCCAGTAGGAAATAACGGCGCCGTTATCGCCAACGGTTAATATAATTTGCATTGAGTTAACGCGATTATCTCCACATACCAAAGGGCCACGCGATGCCGTATCGAACTATTATCTACGTCTACCTATTTAGCGTAATAAAAATCGATAGCGATATTCATAGCGTATTTCATGGCGTATTGGAAAAATTATTTCAACGTCTTAATTAACCATGCTTGGTATCTATATTAAGGAACATAAATACGTAGTGTTTCATGCGTAAATAATGTCGGAGATAAGCGGCAATCGACTTTCAAGTTGGATTTTTCTTACTGCTTCCTGAATATCTACGATTTCGAATCTTCTTATCAAATTACTCGCCAATTTGTTGCTAATTGGATAAAGTTTGTTCCGGTTTCATTTCACAAACGCATTTTTTTTTTCGAATTTTTAATTTCGAATGATATCGTTGAATTAACTGAGGCGATTTAAATGCAAGAAATATTTCATTCAACGAATGTTACATACTATTTCAAGTATTTCTTCATTCTTTTAATACAGATTGTCAGATGTTAGCTTTATATAATTTAATATATCGATTTCGGATAATAATTACGCAAATTTTCTCCGGATTGTATTTTCAATTTTCAACGTACGTTTCTACAAACTTTTCTCGAACTTAAAAAAAAAAACAATTTATCGTATTATTATGCTAAATAAACGACAAATGGAGCATGTAAATCTTTCAACAAGAAATTGTTGAATATCACTTTAACACAAACTATTTTAACACAAACTATTTAAATAACGAATTCATTAAATTAACACGGAAATATATTAAAAATTCAACAGAAAATTTTAACAATGTTTTTCAGAATTACTTGATAATTTTTGTGTATTTATTAAAATAATAAAAATTAATTAGAGACACGAATGACCCATCATGTGCAGTACTTACTAAACGACTGGAAAATCATCGTGTACACTAAGGATTAACTGTAATCAAGATTTATTTCTTTCTAAGGCCCAGTTTCACAACTCATAGTTAACTCTTAATCGAAGTTTAACTTATTCCTCATCTCTTTCTAATGTTAGAATTGGAAAGAGACGAGAAATAAGTTGAACCTCGATTAAGGGTTAACCGCGAGTTGTGAAACTGAGCCTAAGAATTAGAAAGAGACAAAAAATGAGTTAAACTCCGAGATTGACGTAAATCTCATTACGACATTGGTAGAAATAGACAGGAGGAAGACGATTGAACAGGGATAATAGTACGAGTTCTCACCTTCTCGAGCTGATCCAACGCTATCGCGGCGTCCGTCCAGCTGGGCCTGACGTAAAGATCAGATTCGTGCCGGATTCTGGTGCGTTCCGCTACCTTGAGGTCCTTCTCGCCCTCCGCGTCACCATTCTGCCGCGATCCAGAAAGGCGTCCCGCTAGGATCCCCGTGGATATGGGTCCGGACACGGAAACCATGATCTGTCATGCATTCGCCCGCCACGCGCGATTACAACTTTCCGAACTCGCTCGTCTTTCTTTCTTTCTTTCACCTTCCAACTCTTTCGATCGAGAGGGAATCTTTTTAATTTCTCATCGATCTCTCGTGGCGGTTCACTAAAAATCCCGACCACCCTCGAGGTAACAACTTGACGTTTCAATATATCGGTCCTTTTTGTTAATTTTGTTGGAGGAGGGGAATCGGGCGATCTTGTCTTCTCTAAACCAACGGTACCCTTCCCGAAGGGAACCCTCGAAATTCGCGCACGAGGACGTAACGAATCGACGCGCGAAAACGCGTATTCTCGCACACTCTCCACTGCCCGAAAAAAATCGCAACACCTTTTCAGGAGCACTTCTTCACTGACACTGCCTGGCGGTTTCCCCGGAACGGAACGATAACACGTGACCCCCCCTCCCCCGTGAGCCACGCTCAAAATTCGCGCACGAGGACGGCGAGCAGTGGCGCGCATGCGCGCGCGTCCTGCCGATGTATCGCGTTCGGCGCTAAGGCGCTATACGCCGCGCCGGACCGAGATCGGTTTTTAGGTTACCCGCGGTACGTAAATACGTCTTTCTCTGTCGCTCTCTATCTCTCAGATCTCTTCTCGCTGCCTCTCGCTTACAAGGAGCTCGAGGAACGCCCGACGAGGGCGCAAGAGGCGAAAGCGCGCGCGCGCACGTTAAAGGGAAAAATATATGTGGTATATGTGATATATCGCGCGACGCGATTGTTTATTTTTTTTTCTTTCCTCCTTACGTTCAATCGCATGTAAAAGATCACGTGTCACCGCGCCGAGTATGTACAATCCACGGTATTTCGATTAAGGCCCTTCGCTCCGGGCCCGGCCCGTCGCGTTGTGTCACACTGTCACCACTGAGGGCACTGAGTATCGCCACCGTCGTCGTCGGCGTCGTCGGCGTCGGCATCGGCGTCTGCGTCGTCGTTGCCACTGTTGTTGTCGCGTTCGCAGAGTATGACGGGCCCTCTGCGCGGGCCTCTGATGCGTCCTGATGATACGTGCTCCGGCGTGAAAGTGCGACGACGGACACCGGCGTTCACACGACCGCCACTTAGAGCAGTCTAAGTCGGTACTAAGCGAAACCCGCTGCCACATTTCTTTCGTGGCCTGCCTGCCGCGCCAGCCATAGTTGACGGCTTCCCCCCCTCTTCTGCTCAGCGCTCCGGCTCGGGTGCGCAAACATTCAGGCTCGTGCGTAGCCGCGGGCCCCGCGTACCGTCCGCAAAGGGCCCCCCGTTATCCATATCGCTCGCGCTGCCTAAATCATTTTGTCCGCTCCGATTACGTATTTAGGATACAACTCTACAATTTCCTGTTGACGCTCAACGCTCATTTTTTCATGGGCTTTATACAATAAGCCATTATCTAAAAAATTGACCACTGTCGAATGAGGGAAGAATAATCGATTATGATTGATCAATTTTTTAAACTTAAAGCTATGTTATTAGGCTGTTATCAAGATCTGCTTTGACTGAAAATAATTCTTTCTTTTTGATTTATCCTTATCGTTCTCCACTTGTAATTGTTTATCTTCTGTGAAACTCAAAATCAAATATGATAGTTATAATCTTTTTTATTTATAATTATGGTTTATTACGGGTTTTCATATTATATACTCGCTATATTATGCACTTATTTTTTTTTCTGAGTAGATGGCATAAATGTTTGTTGATAGAACAATTGTATATGAAATTATTAAAAAGCTGCGATATTTAGAATTATACGATAATTCACTATCTATATTTTTTTTCGATTTGTCTAATTATCTAATATTATTATATAAAATTTAAATGACGATAATTGAAAAATATTGAGATATATCTGTCTTTATGAAAATACAGAAAAAGTTAAACTAATTAATTGTAAGTGAGACTTAAAGCAAAAATTATGCAAAAATGTGGATAAGTATATCGACTTTCGTATCGATTGGCTAATAATCAAATTCGAATCAATAAATAAAAAAATTCGTTATTGTATTCTATTAGTTAACATATCACGGTTATGTTCGATTGATCGATCGGATAGCTGGATCCTAAACGGACGCTCGATGCGCTACTGCGCGTAAAAGTGACGTCAGAGCCGAGCGGAGCCGAAAAGGGCCGAAGCACCAGAGACTTGGAGACGATTGGTGGAGGCGCCTTGGCGTTTCACGTTGCTAGGATACTCGGGGACTAGCGAGGGGAGTCGACTCTAGACCACACACGCGTTCCCATTTTCCCTGGAGCAAAAACATTACCCACACCGAGACGCGCGACACACACGACGGTGCACACAGCTGCGCCACGGCGCGCAGTGGTGCCTAGGTAGATGAAACCTGAATTTTTTCCCAAAGTTTCAAGTTTAAGAAAATATCCAAACACACATACTCACGTAATTTCAATTCGCAGAATGAGAGGCGTGTCCTCAAGGCTATTATTGATTAAATCTTTATTAGAAAATCTTTTTGTCCGAAATAGTAAATCGATATTCTTTGAGAGCGCTCTTTTAAATATCATAACACGCAGAAAATCGATCTATGGGCGTCTCAGAATTTGCAGATTGTGATCTAGAATTTACAGATTGAACTAAAAAATCGTTCAATTTTTTTCGTTTTGCGCAGCCTCTAATTTTAACGAGATGACGGAACTTCTTATTTATTTAGACGAGTACAAGCGAGAAGTGATTTTGCAGATAATTAAAAAATAACATTTTTGACAGGGTTTGGCGTCCGTCTCGACCTATCTTCGATTACAACGGTCTGTATATGCAAAGACTAAGATTTCTATACGGCTTGAACTAGAAATAAATACTCCGGGAGTGATTAACAAGTCGAGACGTCTCTCCTTCGCAACATTTTCTTGCTCCAGTATTGTATTTCCAGTTGACACCAATTAAAAGTGACATAACAGCAATGTTATAATTTTGCACTTAACAATCCAACTGTTATGTAATACCATGTATTACATTACTCTCTAAATTCTTTAGAATCTCATTTTAAAGAGTGAAAATTGAGCCAAAAAGAGCAGCTCAATTTTTAGTCTTTAAGAGTGATATTTCATTCTTCAGAGTGGGATTCATTCTAAAAGTTTTAGAAAATACATCTATATTGTTGAATACAAAATTATAATATTGATGTTATGTTACTTTTAATTTATTGCCGATATGCCGATTGGGTGGTCTCTACATGATAAAACGTTAAAGGAAGTGAACGAAAATTTCTGCTTTATGTTTCTTCGTAATTTTCTATTTATATACAAACGAGACAAAGATGTACTAAATAAAGAATATGTTAATTTTTTTTTTAATACAAATAAAACAGGTATAATACACATTCTGACTGCTTCCAAAGAAATGTCCTTGCTTGTCATAAAGTAATAGAATGTCTTATTGAGACTTAAGAGGCAAAAAATGACCAACTATCGATCAATGGACGATTTTTTGCCAATATATCTTATTAAAGCCAGTTTGCAATAAACGTCAGAATGTTTGGTCCGTAAAATCTCTTTTAGGCACCACTGTTGTCGATCTTTCTTTCCCTGTCGTTTCACGCATTCCGCCATCCACGTTGTTCTTCGCTCCGTTTATGCACGTGCCGTGCATTTGTTTGTTTACCTGCATGCTCATTTGAAGAGAGAGAATCTGAAAGAATCACCAAGGAGCCAATGCCATGTGTGTGTGCGTGTGTGGGGAGGGGGGGAGCACCACTGAGGACTCGAATTAATATTCATAACCCACATTCACCGCTGAATGTGGTCGTCGAATTCTCAGTTCGAATGATGTCGTACGCGATCTTTATGTGAGATGAACGGAATTGCAAGCTGAAAGACTACTTTTAGCGATACACTGCTATAATATCGCATATATTGGTTTTCGTCTTAGAAACGCTACCGATCGGCAGAATTTTATCGAAAAAAATGTGCGTTAAATTATTTATCGATTTTAATTCACAACATTTCTAACAACTTTATTTCTTAATTGTTATATTTACAAATTGCAGATAATTAAATACTTCTGTGTTTGCCTAAAAAAAGCTGCAATTGCCTCTTTATTTAATTTCATATCATTTGCTTTGACAAAATTTGAATCAATTTATACATATATGGTTTAATAAATTAATTGCAACGCATAGAAACAAATATAATTTGCGAGAAATGAAAAACAAAATATAATTTATTCATAACTATGAGAGTGTATGCCTTTTCGACTTGAATTAGATCTTAGTGCTTGATATTTTAATGTTAATTTATATACATATCCAGTCTTGTAAACTGCTCATTGATTTAATTTTCAGTTTTGAATTTTAAACTGAAACTGAAATAGTAATATTACAAATTAAATCGACAAGCGATTTAATGATATTAATGATAATGAACTCATTAAAACATTATAAAGAATCTATCATGATAAATATCACCTCAGCCAGGGATTTATGATACTGACACGCAGTTTACAGAACTGGATACGAATATAAATCCACGTTGAAATATTATTAAGCTCCAAGATTGAACTCACAATCAGACCTTTTTAGTTACGTTCTTCAACATCAGTCTAACGGATTCTAATAATTTATTATTGATAATTTAGTCATTTTTAATAATATATTATTAAGGCTTAAAGAAATTTTAAGCCTTCTAGATTTCGTATTTTCAAGGATCTTTTCTAATTTTTCTTTTTGGAGCTCCAAGTTGCTCGAGACTATAATTGAAAAAAATTTTTTTCTTCAGCACATCAGGGATATCTGTATATACGATATTTTCTTCAATATATAAGTACGTTTTCTTCAATATATAATATATAAGTACGTGGGAGTAAAGGCCGGCTGTTTTCGATGCCGCTCATTAAGTCGCGCGTCGTGATTAACGTATTAAACTGTCGTCATAATATCTGCATAACGACGTGACTTCATTAGGCGTCGCGCAACCGTTCTCCATGTGCTTGCCTGTGCATATGAATCAGGTCGGGCAAAAGGAAACTTAATGTGTATTACGAAATAATATTTTAATATATAATAAATAATACTAAAAAACTGTACGTACTTTTAAAAGAGTCACATACTTACACAAGTATACACACACACTCCATGCAAAATTTGCTGCGTTTAGAATGTTTATTTTGCAATTATTCCTATTTTCTCACGCTTACATATTTTAACGGAAACAAAAAATTCTTAAAATCCGCGTTTCTTGCATTGATGTCTTTTCGTATCGAAAGATTTCATTCACGCGCGGCTGCAAGAGTCTTAATAAAAAAAAAAAAGTACAAAATGCTCTACATGCCCGACAAAAAAGGGAAGAGAAAGAGAGTGGAGGGTGAGGGAGACGAAGGAGAGATCTTTGCGTATTGTTTCCTTTGACGGACGCACCCCGCGATCGCGCCGTCGATCGGCGATAAGGGAACGCGCGCGCTGAGGAACCGTTAATAATTTTTATGACACTCTTAACTCGCCACCCGGTATTAAGCGGTCCTCCGTAGGAGACGAGCTTTGATCTTCGCCGACGCCCGGTGTATCGGCTTAATAAGTGCGGGAGCGAGATAGCGTAGTTGAGTCAGCTCGCGCGCGCATTCTGACCGCCTGTGGAACTGTCTTCTGGTCGTCGTCGATGCACGTCGCGTTGCATAAGCCCAGGGGCTTTATTCTTGAAAAATATCACATACGAAAATACTAGGGAAAATCTATGATAGTAAAAAAAAAAGAAGTGTGTAATTTTAAGAGATTATGATACTTGGTTCTTGTCTCCATTTCTTAAATACTTAAGATGTTTTACTTTTAAATTTTTTCCAAACAAAACACCATGTGCTTGGATTTAAAATACATAGTGTTTTCAATTTGGACAGGTAGTGTGTTGTTTGTTGAAAAAGTTTAAAACTAAAACATCTTTAAGTATAAAAAATGGAGACAAGAACAAAACATTTAATATCTTAAAATGAAACACTTTCTTTTTCAGTGTGTATGTGTGTGTGTTTTAAATTTTTGAATGCAATATTTTTCAAAGATACTGCCCTATGCATGAAAGCATAAAGCCCATTTTACAATTGCATAAGTGGTCTCAAATATAAGAATCGATTATGAATATCCT